ACCACACGGCTTGCGACATGTAGACGTCACGCTTGAATCTGGAAGAAAGCTCCGGGCATGCGATAAAGCCAAACCTTGCCACATCTTGCGCCTGGGGCTTGCCGCAAGCCCCAGGCGCGAGGCGTCCGCGAGGAACTCGACTCCGACGGCTCGGCCCCGTCGTCCTTGCCTTGCGAGGTGAGTTTGCCAGCCACATGCAGCAGCTTTTGACTTCCTGACCTGCAGGGATTTCACAGGTCGTACGACCTGGAGATTGCCATCGCGGACCAGCATGGCGAGTCCATGCAGGTGCGTGCTGGACAAGCTGATATCACGGAAGTCCCTACCGGGACGTACCTGGAGCAGCAGGGCAGCAGGCCCCTGCTGCCCTGCTGGGGGAGGAGTGGTATGGGCAGACTGCAGGGCCTCACGTGAGAGCTTGAGCATGCTTTTCTACCTTCAATACGTCCGAGATGGACATGAAATTAAATGCATCCACAACAAGACAGATCGATTACAGCACAGATTGATTATGAAGAGGCCTCCGAAAGCGCGCGGTTGAAAAGGATTCGCTGAAGAGAGCAGCTCCAGTCAAGGTGAGCTGTGATACTGGTCGCTGTTCATGTTCGGATAGTCTTCCAGCTACTAAGCAGCAAGGCACTTGCACTAGCAACGCTGTTTTTGTGCGGGAAGTTTGCATACATGACGCGAAGGGACGTAGTGGAGAGACGAACGGAGACGACACGCAACGTGGTAGATGCAGACGGCTCTTGCATAGAAGGTTGAGAGGTGTCGGCTTTCTCCTCATGTATTGATGATAAGGCTGTAGGAGCTCAAAATTGCCAGGCATATCGGGAGTATATTGGGGTTATATTGGGGTTATATACGGATTATACACTAACAACATAAGCTATCGGATGCATGATGGTAGTTTCCTGAAATAGGGGGATCCCATGAAATCCCCATATAGGCCCCAAAGTATTACAATCCTTAATGTAGGGATCCCCAAAAAGGTACCCTTACTTCTAGGAAGCTCACGGGTCTTCTCGTTCAGGTGCCCCCGCCGGCGGTGGGCTTTCGGGACTGTTTGGCGGCTGGCCCAGTGAAAGTTAGGGTTCAGGGTTTAGGGTCTAGGGACAAGCCATACAGGAATTAAGATGTGGATCAGCCGCATGGCATTTACTGAGAATGGCACAGGGCGTGGATGTTCTAGTGTTGGCTTTGCTCGCTTAGGTTCAGGAAGTGCATGACTTGTACATGTATGCCAAAGACTGTGGCATGCTTTTCTGCCGACGGAGAAACGCCCGTCCGCCCTGAAAGGGGTATATGGGGAGATATTAAGGGGTATTTAAGGATAATAGAATAGAACATGGAAACTACAATTTTGTATTATGGTATTTTGTGGTAGTACATGCTAGTGACTAAATTCTGGTATCGCCGGTATCTCGGTACTGGCGTCTTCTCAAGACTTTCATCTTCTTGATTACTTCAACCCTTGAAGGTATGCGGGGGTTCCCAAATCTGTGGGTCCCCACGAATTTGGGGAGTACATAATAAGGGGACAGCTGTGCACAGGCAGGATTTGTACTGCTGAGGTGGGAGTTTTCGAAACAGTCCCTAAACACATCTCATTCTCAGGTTCTCATGCGCCGGCAGCCAGTTCTGCAAGCGAGTCTGGTCAGGGACTTACCAGAAACGTCCGTGGAAGGGGATGCCATGACGTTCTCCTCTTAGGCAGATCATGAAATCTTTCCTTCCTGCAGCTTCAGGGTTGTTCACTCCAGGAAGCTTGCACTGCTTCTTTGATGGCACTTTCTGTGTGGTTTTGGCAGCATCAAAAGGGCTGAAGCTCCTTTTTTAGCCGTAGGAATCAAGTACGCAGTAAGTGGCGGACACTACGACCTCAACAGGAATCTAGAGGCTCCTGCAGAAGGCCCCAAAAGCTGCTGATGAAGGTCGTGCTGCATGCCCATGTGTACTTAAACCCCACAGAACCCTCGGAGCGCAGTACGCAGCCCTGAACCCAATGCTGATGTGCACGGTGTCTTTAAGGCATTTGCACCCCAAACCCAAACTTGAGCCCTAACTAATTCAAAGAGGCCCATGGTTCCAAGCAAAGACCCGTACTATTTTTGGGCTAGGCGTCCCTGCCGCTGCGGCCAAGAGTGCTGCCAAAGCTGACCTTGGGAAGACTCCGGAGGCAAGGGCATTTGGGCTTCAGGGATTTTGGTGAGGGGACCCGGTGGGGTGATATGGTAGTTTCCCTAAACAGGGGTACCCCAATATAGACCGCAAAATGCAATAATCCATATTACATGGACCCCCACCAAGGTACCGCCTAATTTTGGGAAACCCCCATATTGCTTTCAGGTGTCAGTTGTCACGGATCAGGGTTTCCACGCTCGGAGTTGAAAGTCTGAAGATGAGGGCTTGGTTGTGGTTCTCATGCGCATGCATAGAATCTGTGCTTAGTCTCTGTTTTTCCCCGGTTCCAGGAGATGCCTACCGTAGCGTTCAGGGTCCAGAATGATTCTTGTGCAGTCAAGGGTTCAATCTACGTCCAAAAATATTGTGTTATACAGCACTTATGGCCGGGGTTCAGGTGAGTCCATCGACAACATGAGCCCTTGCCGATTCCGACGTTTTGTTTTCGCACGGAGGGCTCAGGAGCTTGGCATTTGCAGTCAAGGTTCTGATCTCATAGGCCAAGCAAGGATTTTGCTACTCCCTGGCCCAGGAATGTACGCAGGAAGATAGCACTGACAAGATGGGTTTGAAAGTTTCCCGATACTCCGTGCTGTCATTTTTGAACAGATTCTCCATGTGCCTGTCGCCGCTGTTGCCGGATTTTTGTTCTGTGTGCTTGCAGCTTTAGCTGCTGTTGCTGCCCGATGCACCTGCAAGCTGGCAACCGAGCGTCTCAGCTACAATATGCTGGTACTACTGTTCAACAGCGCTGGTAAGCCTGGTGTGTTTATCGTCTAGCCATGTTTAGCCATCTTGTATGCTCAGACTTGGCAAGCAAGCCTCGCAGCATCCATGTCGACCTGGCGAGCGGTCAGGAGCACAGGCAAGCGAGCCTGGAGACAGCCCAGCCAAAACGGGTGCACCGAGCGCAGCGAGCACTGCGAGTTTTTCGAGCGCGAGCTACTTTCTGATGCGCCTGTTCAGGAGGGAGAGAAGGGCTACCCTGCCAGGAGGTGGCGTCCCAAACCTGCAGTGCTTTCGCCGCCCTCGCAAACCGTCGCGCTGGCAAGGCCTGTGACACCCAAGGATTCCAACGCCCGAGTAGTTTGGCTTCTGGGGAACCGCTGCGTGGAGCTGCTGCTGCCATCTGGAGCAGTGCGTTGCTCCACTCTGCCAGCAGCCATCAAGGCGGGCTCACGGTCAGTGGCGGATGTGGCAATTCCAGGCCGTTTCTACGTGCTCGAGAACGGCAGCTCCAGGGTCTGGCAGGTGGATCTGGGTTTAGGTCCGCCAAAGCCACTGGGCGATGAGGCTGAGGCCTGGCGTTTCCGTGCTTCGCTGGGATCTCGATTAGTCAGCTGTGGCCCTGAAAACCGGTGGCTGCTGGTCACGGGTACGCCGCATCACGGGGCCCACAGCCCTTGGCTTTTCGACTTGGACTCACTGCGCTGGGAGGCCCTGCCAGCAGCACCTCATGCCATACTCTCTTCTGCTGTGGCAGTGCAACCCGGCACCTCAGAGGTAACAATCCTGGGAGGCTGGAGCAAGATGAGTAGCTGCCACGGCCACGTGCAGAGATTGATGCCTGGACCATCTTGGAATTAAAGCCACATTTCCAAAAACAGTAAATCCTTCTAAGTCCCTTTCGTAGTTCAGTGTACTGCCGCTGCATGCTGTAGAATCCTTGTAGAACGCCCTGGATGCACACAGTCGTTGCGCATCCCCTAGACAATCCCATGACTACATGCCCGCAGACCAAGGACGTTGCCGAGCAGCGGTGGCCGGCCAACCTGGACGGTAATTCCCGGGCGTCTGCCCTGGCGGCGGCCGGGAGCTGCGACCTACTTGGAGGTGGGGACAGTAGATGCCACACAGATCCCTGGGAACTGAAGTACCTTTCTTGATTATGGGTCGGGTTCAGGGGGGTCAGGATTGTTGCGAGTGACTAGTGATTGTCAGCATGTAATTTGTATAGTCAGTATGATGGTCTGGGTTATTCTCACCTATGGCTGTCGCATGGTGTTAGCGGGCGGAGAGCCGAACGCCGAGCAAGAAGGCAGCATTTGGCTGAGGGCCGCTTGAATATTCAGACGGTTAGGAGCCCCCTCAAACCCACTTGTATGTTTTCTAGGTCCCACTAAGTGGAGTTCTTGCTCTCCTGATCTCGAAGCCCAAATCCAAAGAATCGCCTGCAGTGACGTTGGCTGCTCTTGCCTCCTGAGCCCTCCAGGATGGGCGCATGCTCATCTCGCTGGGATGGATGGAGTGTCGCCTAGAAGCAGTTCTTATGAAGTAGTCTGGGAGGGAGTGAGACGCAGCGTTCCTTGTACAAGGCCCTGTCTCAGGCTGATCTTACAGATTCTCCGGATGCTGTAGATGCCGCACTCCATGTACTGCAACTGGGGGGCTGTGATTGCCGCCTAAATAAGGCTTACTTCGCTGGTGTGCTATCCACACGTATCCCACAGTAACTTGCCTGCTTGCCTCAGGCCTCCAGGGTTTTGGCTTTACTAATAGCTGCGTCCACCTGAATGCCTCAAACAACTTATTCTGAAGTGTTGCGTGGAGCTGTAGACTGGCTGCCCACCTCCAACCTCAGCCCCAAAATCTGACTACCAACCGAAAGCTGAGATGCCTAAGCCTAAGCCCTGTATGTCTCATGAAAAATATACGCCATTACCCCAAATGTGCTTGGGTCTCCAAGGCGAGGGTGCTGTGGGCGCAAACAACTTCAAGCTGTTGCCCAGGACACCGGGGTGGGAGACCTGTGCACACAAGTGCATATAAGCGCAACTTCCCAAGACTAGGTAGCCTGTGATGCTGTAATCTGCGAAATACTGTAGGAGTTCAGCCCAGCAATTTTGCAGAGCGTCATAGATACGTAGAGGGCCTCTAAGCTATTAAGTCTACTCATGCTCATGTCTGTTATGGGTTGGGGTCTACCCCCCCACACGAACCGCCCTCAACACAGACAGTAATTGTAAGTCTAATATAATTACCCCAAGTCCATTCCCTATCTATGACTGCCAGTGGATGGGGGGTCCCAAGTCGCGATCTTCATCAATTTAAAGGTACCTCTAATCCTGCTTAGGATTTAAGGGGGCCAACCCTGCCAGGAATGGTGCTGCTCAGCGCGCGCGTTCCTCTTCCTCCCGGCTGGTGGCCTTGGGCGGGGGGGCGCCTCGGCTGTGGAGATGAGATATAGGACTCTGTGCGCTTCCCAAAAAGCAGTACCCCTCCTAAACGAACAGGATTCTGGCGAGCAGGAAAATTTGTGAGGGACTTAAATGGGCTTCCGTGGGCATAATGTCTGCATCACATGCCATTCTCTCCACATCTGAAGCAGTCCCAAGGTGAAGATGGGGCACTCTGGATTGCGGTTCTAGAAGGAAGCAAATCCTAACGCGCAAGCCCCAACCTTTTCTTTGAGCCTTGAATCCGGAGCGCCAGGCACACCTGGAAGAGCTGTCTGTACTGCCCCTTGCAGCCACTCAGCGCAGTTTTGACCTTCTGCGGTTTGAAGGGTTGGATGGATTGAGGAACCTGGTGGGTGGGCCAGAATTAGTGGACATCAGACGGCGCGGACACTCAAGAAAGGCTTGGCTGTGTCCTTGTCAAAAAGTCCAGTTCCACAGGGTTGCATCTGCGGACATTTGTTTGCCGTTTGGGTAGGCACACTACGTCTACAGTGACATATCTGTCGAAGGTCCAGCCTACCCCTAGTGGCCCAGTTCTCCAGCACAAAAGGAAGCGATGTTCTTTTTTGGGAGCTTAGGACAGCTTCGAAAACCTGGGGCAGATCTTCGCACTGGGCAACTCCCTGGCCTGTGTAGGAAGGGACCATGTCCAGGCCCCCTGGGCAATTCGGGTGGGTCAGGTTCAGGGTTTAGGATGTAGGGCTTTAGGGACTGAGTTGTGGCGGGCTTTGTGGAGACTGCCCTGGGAATAGTGGAGGGTTTAGGGGCTTGTCAATGCAGAGACAGCAGATTCCGGCTCAGGGTTTGGTTGTCAAGTTTGCAGTCAATTTCGAGGTTCTGCAACCAGTGAGGTTGCCTGTCTTGGGTGTAGGGATTCGGACCTGGGGAATTTCAGGGGCAACAACTGCTCTCCTGCAGGCCTTCGACCTCACTTCTGGGTCGTGGCAAAGATGGCCTTTGCCCGCAGACGCTTAGACTGGTTGGTCTCAAGTGCTTCCCTGATTTCTGCAAGTAAGGATCCCCCTCGTCGCCGCCCAATTCTAAACGTTTGACGGAAGCATCCCAACGGTTGGACAGACAGAAGAATGTAAAAATGGACAAGCAGGCCTTCTGTGCTGACTGCTACGAAGGTGCAAAGGAGCTGACTACTAGTGCCATTTCATTCCGGAGCTACCACTAGTAGAATCCTCTGCTTAAGATACGAGGCCCCGAGACCGAAGACCAAGCTCAGGCAGCCTGCAACCTTCAACCCGCAACTGCAACCCCTTTAGTCAACGTTCTCAAATAGCAGCCCCAAAATGAGCTATAGTCCAAACTCCTTAAAGGGCTTTGTAGGGGGGATTATATAGGGAAGCATTATAGGGGATTAGGAGTGTAGACTACAGCAAGGAGCTGGCCAGGGATGACAGCAGCTCCTGGGCCAAGCACTGCGGCTCCTGGGCCGTGGCTTTTGAGGGGCCACCCCGAAGCTCTTCGTGGTGAAAAGGAGCTCAAATTCTGGCCTGATACAAAGGCTGAGGTACTAAGAATAGTAGTAAGATGTAGTAAGAGTAATACTGGTAAGACTACAAATTGTCGTAATAGTAGTTATAATAGTGCGTAATAGTAAGAGGATAGTAATTGTAGTGCCAATAGTACAAAATAAAAGCAACAAAGACAATGTGATCATAACCCTGAGTTAGATGAGGTAGAAAGAATAGTTAGCTGTTGTAGCAGAAGAGGCAGTTGCAGGAGAAGGAGGAAGGAGGAGGGGATAACCCTGCCTCCACACGCCTTAGGTGTTTGGGTTCTGGTCCTAACAGCAAACTCTCTGTGGAATCCCACCTGCATACCTCCTGAGACATGCTTGATATTTAGCTTGAAGGGCTTCGAGCATGACGCCGTGAATGCTATCTGCTATGTATCGGTACTCTTCTTGTTGCGGGTTAATACTTGCCACGATTGTCAGAATGATTGCTTGTAGGATTATTGTAGGCTTTGCAGGCTCCTCCGTCTGCTGGCAAGGGCCGGTGCCTCAGCCTGTCAGCAGGTCTGTCAGAAGCCAATCCGAAACCTTCAAGCCAAACAGGCCAATCTTCGGGAACGAAAAGAGCAAGATCCACAAAATCGACCCCAGTACGCTGTTCGCTAACACAGAGATCGCCCTAAACTCTCGGTCTTTCGAGGCCCTAGATTTCTTGCAAAATGACTCTCTGCACATTCTGTCTCTGGTTGAGAGTCTGCATGTGGAGACCTGAATTTGGGACTTGGGTGTGGAGTGAATGGGATCCTTGTTCCTCAGTCGCTTGAGATCCTGGCTGTCCTGTCCCCATCCCTTCAAGCCCCATTCAAAACCAACCCTGGAATACAGCACCGCCTACCTCCCTGAATAATGCATTCTAAGCATACCGATGCTAGAACCATGTGGTGCAGCCTCGTGAGGCCTCGAGCCCAATTCAAACCTTTCATTCCCTGGCGTCTCTCACGTTCTCCTGCCAGGACTTTGAATAACACAATGATACAACTGCAGCGCTTCGTAGGAAACGATTGTTCTCATCCATTTGTAAGGATAGATCAGGGCCGCTACAATGCGAAAAAGGTAAGATGCTTAACCGAGGGGCAGAGCGTCCGCCGGCACCTCCCCCTGTGGTAGTCCAGGCAAGCGCTGCCTCTTGGATTGCTTTTGCCGCCAGTAGGCAGTACCAAGTGAAAGCTGCCTACAATGGGTGCATTACGCTGCATTCATTGCATTCATTGCGTTTCAGGAGTACTGTGGTAGCATTGAAAAGTACAGTGTATGCTGGCTGCTCGTTGGTACCTTGGTGATTTGTACAGCCCTGGTTCAGGCCCCAAAGCTAACGGATGAGGCCAGCGGCTAGGATGTCAGGATGTCGGGTTCGAGAACTTGCAGGTCTTCGGGAGAGGAGGCCCTGGTTAAGGGAGGTAAGAACCTACATGACTGGTTGATACTGGTGAGATCCGACCTGAAACTTAGGAGTCAAGGGTTGGATGGTTTTGCTGAGCAGGTTTGGATGTACACAGGGCAGACTCGAGGGCTTGGATGGCAGGTGTGGGGAAGTTGCTGTCTTCAGGAGCAGAAGCTTGTGGACGAGCTCTTCAAAAACTGGGAAGGCGCGGCAGGATCACTCCCACGGGTCCCCGCAATTGCATCTTCATTGTGGATCAGTGTGCTGTTGTTTCCGTGTTTTGCATCATGATTATCATCGCGGTTGTTGCTTTCGACTGCTGTTGCGCTTCTGTTCATGCTGCCATGTTGGGCATTACAAGTCCAGCCTCAGCCAAGCGCAAGATCCGCGCTTCTGCGCTCCTGGCTTCCGCTGAGAAAGTGCTTGCGATTCGGTTTGCAGAGTTTGTTTAGGGGATCGGCTTGACCGGCCCGTCCGGGCTCTGGACCTCGAGCGTCACTTGCAGGGCCTGTGTGGACTGGTGCCGGACGTCTGACGATGCCAGCTGACTGAACCTTTGGACCTCCAGCTGGCGCCATTATCCTTCACTGCTATCTCTGGGTAGCGCATCGCCCCACTCTGCAGCGCTGCAGGAGAGCATGACGGGCTCGAAGAGGGGAAGGTCTTGCAAAGACCACAAGATGCGAATCTGGAATTTGCCAGCATGATCCTGGGTGGGTCGGCGGATGTGGTCTGCTTGCTGCTGTGCGGACAAGAATGGGGCCATTGTAACATGAACCAACCGACTTCACAGGAATGAACCAAACGTCGCTGGCGTCTGAGAGAGGGCACACGAAAACCTTTGAGCTACTCCGAGAGGCCAGGCTTGCGGAAGGAGAGCATGAAAATCGACAGCAGAACATAGATTCACCGTGATTGATCTCAGTTGCTCTTGCTAGTAAGGGGTCTAAGTACCAGCATGTTTTGATTGGAGCTTCCTTCATATGCTTCACCCCTAAAAGCTTCTTGAGAGAAAGAGCCTCGAGAGCATAGTAGAAGTACCGCCGTTAAGTAAAGCAATTCAGTCGTCCCTACCGAGTTGGGATGTTGCACGCTTGGCGCCAGGCCGAATAAGCGTGCAGGCAAAGGCGGTGAAGGCTCGGGGCTTTAGGCGTCAGGGCGGTGACCGGCTTCATCTGGGCGTTTCCATTGTGCCCAGTTGCAGGAGATGCCTGCAACTGTAGAGCTTCTTGTTCGAGCGGTTATTTCTCTAAAGCACGAAGAGGGAGACACCTTCCACTTAACTCGCCACTAATCTCAAACTTTGTTCCAATTCCTCGAGCCCGCCTGGGTTGACAGTATCTGGCTGACAGCTTTGTCGTCAATTTTGGCTTACGCTTCCCACGTGGCAGCATCTCAAAAATGGCCCCCTTCCTTACCCGCGACACCTCGAAGCTTTTGGTTAGTTGGACCCTTTCGATCCTTCTGCAAACTGCTAGCGGCAGCGCAGCGGCTCCGGGGAGGCAGCCTGCACGAAAGCCGTGGAGGTGGAGAAGGATTTCACGGATACCTGCGAGAAAATCCAGGCGCAGTGGAGTGTAGATGCGAGGACTTGGGGTTTAGGGTTTAAAGATGTAGGGTTGAGGGTTTAGGGTTTAAGGATTTAGGGGGTTTGGGTTTAGGCTGCAGTCAAAACTCCTTGATACGTGAAAAGGCCTGCAAGTGTAGTATGAGTATCTCCATAGTTGCTGAATGATGCCTCCATACGAGCAGCTTCCCATTTGGGTACCCCTAAATAGTGGGTGCCATAACATCATTTATAACTGAACGGGACCATAATTTTGAGAACAACTTAAAGGGCTTGCAAAGTTCCGAATGTGGAGGTGTCTCTGACTTGCCGTTCCTTCAAGTCTCTCGCGTACTAGTGTTGGGACCAGGTTGGGGGGCAGTACAAGAGCCCAAGTATGATGAGACTGCCGTATCATACCCATGCAATCCCTCTAGAATCATATTGCAGACAATGCTGACCCTAACTCCAAATCCTGCGCCCAGAGCTGCCTTCTGACTTGTTGAGCCCCTCCAGCAGAATTTGCGATCCTCATTTCTATAATACTATAGTAGTTTCCAATTTTTCATTATCCCAATACGACCCCTATATAGCCCCAATATACTAAAATAGTTTCCTTTTCATTTTCCACTATCCCAATATAACCCCTATGTAAAAGGCTTTGAAGGATGAGCGCGACTCTTTGCTGTCACAGCCTCAGTGTTCGAAGTTCGCGGAGCCCAGGCTTCTGAAGTAATGAAAACCACGGTTTTTATTGTTATTGTTATGACAATGTTACTACTGTTATTAATTACTACTATTGTTATCATTATTATTGTGATTTATTGTTGCTATTTTATGGAATTTTAATTTTCTTATTATTGCTATTGTTATTGTTGCTGTTGTTGCTGCTGCTGCTGCTGTTGTTGTTGTTGTTACTATTAGATACCAAACACCTTGCATGCCCCTATGCACCTTATACCTTGGGAACTATGGTGCGACAGTATAGTAGGATCATGCAGAATTTTTAGTATCAACAGTATTAACTATTGGGTCCGAAATTTAGGCTTCACGGTCCTTTGCATTTTGGGGCATTTAAGGGGAGCCCCATCCTTGGAAGTACCATGGGACGGACGCGATATGATGGAGTCCATCTTCTTTATCCATTCACGCCATACGTCGGAAGGCAAGTGCGTACGTCTGCAAAAACACATCATAACAGACCAGTCTTTGGGGAAAGTGATTTGGAGGCCTGGCTGTGCAACCAGGAGAGGCAATCAAATCAACTGGGTTAGAAAGGTACCGCTGCTATACGGGGATTCAGCACTTTTCCTCGTCAGGATGCCAGAGCTTCTCAAAGGGGCGAGTGTCTAATTGCACCTAGGCGAACGCAAGAGGCTGCCGAAGGCTCTATGCAGCTCATACACGAGCAGCAGGATGGTATGCGGATGGGCACTGCAGGTTTCTACCGACCTACCAGAACCTACGCCGTGGAAATTACAGCAAGGTTAAACAAATAGGTTTAGGTGGGTGTAAGAGGATTGTGTAAGGGTTGAATTGAGTTGCGGCTCTGAGTTGCCATGGGAATAGACCTCAATGCCATCGATGATGGATGAGGCGGTGAGGAAAGAATGACTGCTGGCCAAAAACGGCCCTGAAGCCTTCCGGACTTCTTGGCTAAGTTCCGGTACAGACCTCCCTGGCCCCTATACAGCAGGCCACAGAACCTCTACTACCAATGTAGGGCTTCTAAGGATCTTTTTCTGGGTAGCAGTTTGGGGTACTTTGGAGTTGCCCACATTCTTACAGACTCGGTAGCAAGAGATCCTGACAGGGATTTCCTGTGCCCCAAGCCTGACAGGACCACCTGGCCACACTTTTGGAGCAGCTGGAGACGCAGATGGATCTTGGCTCGCCGGGATGCCCAGAATTCGGATCTTTGTGATGAGTTTAAGGCTTCAGGGTGTGTAGGGAGTAGGGAAAGACTTTGTTGCTGTGGCAATACGGAGGAGTTTTTGTGGGATCTTTGAGCATCATTGCGGCCATTGTGGTATACCGTGGTTGCGTAGGGATTCTTGTAGGGATTTGTTCTTTTACACTTACCATTAGATGGGTGGGCTTTCGGCAGCCAAGCTGCGGCAGTGGACTCGAATCGAAGAACTCAAGGCTGGGGAGTTGGGAATGGGGGTGCAGAGGACGTAATTCGAAGAAACAACCAAGCAGAAGATCAGAAGAAGAACACGACGACAAGCGCACGAAGTGTCTAGCAGCTTCAGCAAACAAAAGTTGTGATTCCATCAGAAGATGTGTGACCAAAAGCAGAAGTAGGCTTACGGCCTTGCGATAAGGGAATTTGCCCTAAATAAAGGTTCAGGGTTTGGGGTGCAGTATGCATTCTTCAGGCTCTTTGTGCAATCCAGACTTGGAATGGAGGCACACTACCCAAAACAGTTGAGGGAGAGTTGTTGGGAATGAGAGTTCAGTTCGCTTCTTACTAGCGTCGAAACCTTCAACAAGATGGAGGAAGTGCGCATCCGCTCGCTCGAAAAGCAGGCAAGTCAAGGAGTTTCATCTTGTAAAGACTTATTGTGTTGGGCATTATTGTTGTCATGCAGACATTCTCGCTCTGACGGAAATCATGACTCCCATTCTTGTTCCATGCTCAAGGATGTTGCAGACGCCACGGAGTGTGGCAAGGCCATCCCGCTTCTCTTGGGACAATCCTGGTGGTTGTAGTGGCAGCAGTCATGGATGTAGTCATCTCCGTCATGGTCTGGGTCGTCATTCTAGCAGTAGGATTCATGCAGGAGTTGCGGTGGCAGTAGCAGGAGTGTCAATGGCGGTGGTAGTGGATTTCAGTGGAGCAGCAGCGGTAGAGGAGGAGGAGGAGGAGGAGGAGGAGGAGGTGGTGGTGGTGGTGGTGGTGGTGGTGGTGGTGCTTCTGCTGCTGCAGCATGCTGCCCCAACCCCTCCAGCGATCCAAAGACAAAAAGGACCCCTCATTATCTGCGGAAAATGCAGCCATCCATGCTTTTGGAGTTTCGGGCGTCGGAAGAACGACTAAAGATGACGGAAACGAGCAGTGATGCGAAAGCAGGCACACAGTGCGGTGCTAGCCAATCATGCCTCAAACCCACTTTTTTTGGCTCAGGCCAGGCATGAAAGCCTAAATCATTAGATCACAACTCTTGAAAGCCACTGCACCCTTCAATCCTCAACTGCATGCCCTGAGCCCCCCAAACCCGACACAGTAGACATCAGGCTTGAGGATCGAGCGACAGCTGTGGAGACTCAGCTCGAGGAGCTCACACGCCAGGTCGATCGTCAGGGATGCTACGGAAATATGACCATTCAGGAGCCCGGATTATAGGAAGTTATCAAAGCAGCTGCCCTTGGAAATTGGGTTTGCCTTAAAAACTTAGCACAGAGGGAAGGCATGACCATGGCACAGGGACTTTGAATCCGTCACGGATACTTAGATGATTTTGTAGAGGAATGTTGAAGTATGTCGTGATTGGCTTTGGACAGCGCTCTAGCAGCCGTGGGGCCAGACGACCAATTTCCAAATGTAGAGTTGTGAGTGGTCCCAGGGCTTGGAGGGTCAGCTACACAGAAGAGACTTGGCGTTGTGTTGCCGTAGTGCGTGATCTTCTGGAAGGCTTTCAGAGCGGCACCTGCAGAAGTCGTCATAGCATCCCTGCATGCTCAAATTGATTGGGCTAGAAGTGCATAGTCCTTGAGTTCTGCAAGGGCTCTTTAAGTGAAATGCTTCTGTTCAGTGCCGCCTAGGATAGGCTGCTCGCTTCCAGCGCATCAGGTCTCGAATCCTGAAGCCCAGGGCATGCAAGCGTCAGCAGCAGTATTGGTTCAAGCCCAGTCGCAAACCGGCGTGCCAAAGCTGCCGCAGACTCAGTTGCCTGTCATGTCTGAGATTTTGCCGAGAGAGAGAGAGAGTGCCTTGAGATCTTTTTCTGAGGCCCAGTGGCCCCATGCCTGAGATGCGCAGAGCTTGGATCATGCAAGATGAAGCACATGAACATTGATCGCAGATGTTGGCTTGCTGTTGCCCCATCATCGCATCAGTGCTGAAACCCCTTTGCAGGTCTCGCGAGCAGGATCGGCTGGTGTTGCTCTGCGGGTAACAGCTGGTATTGCTTGCAAGCCTTCGCCTCCAGGGCATCCCGGAGCCCCAGCGCTACAGAGGCAGGATTAAGTCCTGGGGGCCGGGCACGCCCGCCACCCAGTCACAGGTGTCTTCAAGGTGAGAAGTGCGGCCTAGGTTGTCCTGTCTGAGTGTGTGTGGCATACGTGGCAAGGTTTGGCTTTATCGCATGCCCGGAGCTTTCGTCCAGATTCAAGCGCGACGTCTACCTGTCGCAAGCCGTGTGGTTCTTGGCCGGCGGACTGCAGACAGATTGAAGCCTCTTGCCAGTAAGGAGTACAAAGACTGGGCGATCGACACGCCAGTCAGCTTCAGTCTGGTGGTCACCGAGCAGCGTCACGGCCTCACCCACCATCGATGATCAGCTGGCTTAGTAACATGTCGTGACGCAGGCAAGCCCCAAGCACGAGATGTCCGCGAAGAACTCCGCTCCGACGGCTCGGCCCTGTCGTCCTTGCCTTGAGAGGTTTGTTTACCAGCCAAATGCAGCAGCTTTTGATTTTGGAGTGAGGCCAGCGAGCACTGGCAGCTGCAGCCTGAGTTGCGCGCCTTTTCTTCTGCAAAATTCCTCTCTCTGGTTTGGTTGTCTGCAGGCGCTTCTCCAGATCTGCGGTGCCAGCCTGGCACGCAAGACGCAGCCGAGGAGGGCTGGAAGGACCATCTCGAGTCCTGGCCTCGGCTGCAGAGAGACGGGGACCGGGGGTGCATCCCTTGGTATCCCTTTGTTTGGTTGGATCCTCCATCTAAGGCCCTGCCGTCACTTTTAGCCCCTCGTGCTTTCGTCGCGCCTCAAGAATACCAACAGTCACAGGGATCTGGGTGGTCCTCATCGCGATCCTCGCAACTGTCATCGCTGTTGACACCTCATATTGTTGCTTCAGTTTTAAAGTAATCACACTCACAAGGATCAGCTTGGTCCTCATCTTGCATACAGCTTCTACAACCCCATGCAAACCTGCTTGAGACTGTTACAAACCTTCTATACACCCCCCAGAAACCTCATGTAAACCACAAGACCCAGACCCAGGACGCCGGGGGGGGGGGTATTAGTTCAATCCTATGTGAGAGCCTAGAAGATGGGTCATGTTCCCAAACCCCCAAACCACCTTTGGGCGGGGGGACCAGCGGGGGGGAGGGGAAGCAACGCGTCTGGATAATATGTCTCTTCTCCTGTTTGATGAAGGGAAAGTTCAAATGGAAGTACCGCAGGGCCTAAATTCACAGATGCTACACAACAGTGGAGCGCTGAGGCCAACCCCCGTCTCGAGGACTTCCAGCCAATCCAGCACAACGCTGGCGAGCCAGAGGGGGCGAGTTCGGTCCACTAGCTGGGCCGATATCCTCGACGAGGAGGACGAGGACCTTTTGGGGCACTTGGCAGGTGGGAGGCGATGCACGTGCCTTCTTGCCTTACTATGAACACATGATGACTTTGTTGGCCGTGAAGCAGGAGCGGGAGATGGAGCCTCCAGAGTCCGAGACCGCCCCGTGCGACTGCGCGAGCCTGATCAAGGCCTTTGTGCAACGTGCAGGGCGGGGCATGGAGTGAATGCTGGATGCCAAGCTGCCAGGAGTACAACGTGGATCCTGACCTCCAGGGCTTTCACAGGTTGTACGCCCTGGAGACGGCCATCGCGCATCAGCATGGCGAGTCCATGCAGGTGCAGGTGCCTGCTGGACAAGCTCCGATCACGGAGGTCCCTACAGACACATACCTGGAGCAGCAGGGCAGCAGGCCGGAGCACGCGGCAGCTTGATGGAACTGTCGAGCTCTCTGGTCTTCTTGGCGCACGGTTGTGTGCCAGGATTTTGACACTGCCCTTGACCTACCGGGCCAGGGGAGGCCTGGACCTTGCAACTTGTCGTCTGTGTGCGGCATCTGCTCTTGTGGGCTCTCTAGGAGAGTGATCGCGCCTTCAGACCTCTCACTGAGTGCAACTGAGGTGAAGATGCGGTTGATAAGACCCCCGATGCCTGGGAGGTCCACACATGTGTCTTGCATGGGCGCAGCCCGACAGATCTTGGATTGTAAAATGTCTGCGCCTTGAGGGGCAGGGCATTGAGGACTTTGGATTCCCATGCATCGAGGTTCGCTGGCAACACCCAGTTGTGAGTGGGCCGCTGGATGTTGAGCCAGGAGCCGCCAGCAGAACTCCCGCCAGCGCACCATCCGGTGACGAAGCGCGCGATGCACGTCAGCTTTGCTCGAGCCTCAACGTTGGATGATGTGATGTTGAAGTCATCGGGCTCTTCGCTGCGGTGCTGCCGGCTTTTATCTCTTTGCAAGGTGCAGGCTACCATGGCAAGGCCCAACAGCTGCCTGCTTTTGGGAAGCCCCGCCAACCTTGAGAGTCTTGGTTTGAAGCAAATCTGCCGGGAGGGTCAATGCCGCCTGTGCAGCAGCCGTGGCTGCAAAGCAGCGCGAGGCTTTGGAGGCCTGCGCTTATGCATGTTCAACTGTTCTGGTGGCAATTTTTCACTTGGCTTGGCAGGAGCGGAAGAACCTCCTGGGCTTGCCTCCCCTGGACGAAGCGCCATGGAAACCAGCATGGCCATCAAAGGTTGTTCAGCCTCGCAACTTGCAGCCCTGGTCAGGGGCCCAAGCCCAGGGCATGCAAGCGTCAGCAGCAGTGCTGGTTCAAGCCCAGCCGCAAACCTTAACCGGCATGCCAAAGCCGCCGCAGACTCAGTTGCATGTCATGTCTGAGACTTTGCCGAGAGAGTGCCTTGACATCTTTTTCTGAGGCCCAGTGGCCCTCCGCCTGCCAGGCTGCAAGGGCCTCCAACTGAGCCGCAGAGCGGCCTGCACGGCCTGCGCGGCCTATCTGCTGAAGCTCCAGCCTTCCAGCCTGGCCATGCGTGGCAGCCCACCCGTCCAGTCCTGTACCAAGCCAGCCAGGCGGAGCAGGACTACCACCCAGCAGGTGCGCAGATTGGCCCAGACACCAGCACCGTGTCGGTGAACTCCCCCCAGCCCATTCTGCAGCGTCCTTCCCGGAGGCCCCGCACCTGCCCAATGGAGACAGTATGAGGAACGTCCAGCTCCACACCACCACCAGGAGACTGGGCGTTGGGAGGAAAGGTGGGGATGGCAGGATTGGCAGCAGGAGTGGCAGGGGCAGGATTGGCAGAGAGAGTGGTGGCGGGAGGAATGGAGGGGCCAGAAGCAGGGCAGCAAAGGTGGATGGAGCTCCTGGCAGGCCCTTCAGCAGAGTGCAGAAGCTTTGTGCAGCGAGCATGTCACGCTGAATGCGCAGCAAGTTGCAAGACGTTGCCAGGAGAGAGGAAAGCAGGCGTCCAAGAATTGGGGCGGTAAGGGCACAAAAGCGCAGCAAAAGTGGGGGCCATAGCCGTAGACGCACATCAACGTGCCAATCTGTTGGCTTTATCTCTATCATGACGGCTCGTTCTGAGGCCACCTCTCTGCCGACGCGAGTTGAGCGATGAGGCAGTGCCAGAAAAGCATGGCCAACATGCAGCGCTGCCAACGTGGTGGCTGAAGCAGGTGACAAGATCCTCTACAAGGTCCGGTTCCTCAAATTCACCGCCAAGGGGACAGGCGCGCTGCAGTAACAGGTCGTTGTCACTCCGAGAGCCCCTTCTAGCATCCTCTGGCACCGGCAAGGAGAAGGGCGGCATGGGCAAAGGACCAGCTGCTTAAGTCTGTTCATTCTGTTCGAGTGTAGCCAGATGCGTGTGAGCTTCGCAGGACAGGGAAAAGCGGCCAGGGCAGCACTTCGTCAATTGATTCAGCAGCAGAAGCAGCATGAGGCCCCATCAGCATGCTGATTGGCACTCAATCCGTTGGGCAGATGTTGCAGGCAGACCAGACGAACGAGGTGCGGCAGCGCCGTGAGGCACGCGGCCCGGAGGGTGCTGGCTGATTTAGGCGGCTGGATCTATCACATCAGGGTCGCGGCTCCGTTCGACGGTGACGCAACGAGGTGAAGAATGCTGTCAACTGACTGCCTTGCTTGTTTTCTCCTGCCTTCCCCAGCCAACACCCCAGACATGTCCCGAACAGAGAAGCTGCGAAGGCAGTGTGCACAGCGCAGCTGACAAGGCTGCAAAAATGATTGTTTTCAAGTTTCCAGAGCCTCTGCCCAAGAGGACTGCAGGGCCTTATGTGAGGCTCTCAGACGCTTGAGCATGCTTTTCTACCTTCAATACGTCCGAGACGGACATGAATTCAAATGCACTGGCAGCTCGATAGATTAGAACACAGGTTGATTATGAAGAGGACTGCGAAAGCGCGTGGTTGAAAAGGGTTCGCTGAAGAGAGCAGCTCCTGCCAAGGCGAGTTGTGATCTGGTCGCGGTCCATTGCTTCATTTTGAGTATCTGTTGGTTCATATTACGCTGCAGGAAGGGAGCCGGAGCTCACTAGAGGCTAGCATCTTCCTCCCGTTTTTGTGGGATGTTTCGTGCTAGGGCGAAAGTGTAAACAAATAGAAAGAAGTCAAGCTTTTCTTAGAACTGGTGCTGCAGGAAAACCCTAAGCCCGAAACATTCCTGAGCCTTCCCAAAACCTACAAGCCAAACAGCCCGCCCGATGGTGATTCATCCGTAGGTGCGACAGCTTGCCGATGCAACGGCTTCCTTTGAGGAGCCCGCAAGGGTCAGGGTTTCGGCTTGAGGGTTTAGAGTTTTTTTTGTCTGGGCTCAGACAGTGGGAGCCAGAGAATGTGGGACAACACCAAGTCTCAGAAGTGATAACGTGAGAAATTCCAAGATTTTTGGAAGAGTCCTCTGAAGCTCCCCAGCTGGAGCCTATCTTGCTCACTTGGCTAGGTAAAAAAACCTTGGACCCAAAGCATCAAAACAAGCGGCCACATAGGCACTCCAAACACTTCCAGCCCCTAACTCTTCACGAAGGCTGAGGGCGCAGATCCTCTCGACCAGGCGCATGTGGTAAGAAGCTTTTCGTCTACAGGTATTCGCACAGGCTTAGTTCAAGATTGGTGGTAGCTTGCATGGTTCATGGTTTTTCCTGTCAGGCTTTCAGGTCTTGAGGCCCGAGAGCATCAGTATTTCTGTAGACGGCTTGCAGGAGTTTGGATTCTGGGCTAAAGCTTGAGGACTCAGCGCCATGTACTTTTTGCAACTCTGGTCCCCAGCCCGGTGAAACATCTAAACCCGGAAAGTCAGACCCCTAGCCCGACACCCAAATTCATAGACCCCAAGCGCAAAGCCACATGAGTGATGGAGGACATTTTGCAAAATCTTGCACCGCTAAACAGCTAAGCTACTATTCTAAGTTGTTATATCCTAGACATCACAAGTCTCTGGGCAGGTCTCCCATCTCCTGGCAGCTCACTCTAGCGAGCTGGACGCCGTGCAGGACATTCTTTCAACACCTGCCGCATGGCCTCCCCCAAACACATGGGACAACATGTAGGCCGCTTGCAAAGCGATAGAAGTATTGCGCATGTTGTTGGGATTTCAGGTGGTGTGGCTTCAGATGGATGTTGCAGAGAGTATGTGAGCGGCTGTTGTAAAGTTACCTATGCTGACAAACACCCAATCCGCAACAACATCAAGAACGCTTAGCAACATTCAATGCGCGTAGGGGCGCTGTTCCTGGCAGTCGCCGAGAGAACTGGAAAGAGCTAGAAGCCCTCCAGTCCGAATAGCACAAGCTTGACTTGCTTGGCCAAGTATCCCTTGGCCCAGCATCCCCAGACACTGGCCCCCAAACATCTTGAACATTGATGAAGTAGTGTACTTGATGTGATGCAGTCGAACCCGCCCTGAATGGGTTCCAACAGTCCTTAGCAGTCTCTGGACTTTCCAAGGATGGCCAGAATTTTTCTTAAAGAAGGTTGCGAGGTTTGGGAGCTGCACAATCATAGTAAGATGGATATTGCTGTCAGGAACCGTTGGAGGCATATTGGAGGGCTGTGGGGCACACTCTCAATTCAGTTTCTTCGAGGATTCCCGGGGCCTCATTTTCTGATCTAACTTCTGCCAGCTGCTGAGCTCAGCCCCTGAGCCATACATAGTCTGCACTCCTTAATGGGTGGGGGACTATATTAGGGATGATATAGGGGACTATTTTAGGGGTTAGGAGGATGCTAGGAGTTAAGACCATGGCTCATCTGGGTGACATTCATAAGATTTTTTCTTGGGGCTCTCCTCAAGCCCTGTGTGAGTCCTTCAGCTACCAGAAGACAACCCTGATGCACCATTATGTGTAAGACAGAAACTTCTAGAAGACAGCACAGCAATAGTAAAACCAGTAGTAATAGTAACAACAATAGCAAGAATGAGAATCATAACAATACTGGTAATAGCAGCAATAGTAAGAGTTCGAGTAATTGTAGTAGGCAATGTCAATCCTTGAGCAGGCACGGCTCGACGCAACAGAGAAGAAGCTGAAGATGGTTGAGGTGGCATCCTCAACCCTAAACCCTAGACCTTTAAACCCTAAACTCTAAACCTTAAGCCCTGAATCCTGAACCCTAAAACCTCAACCCTAAACCTGGCCTGGGGCAAGAGGAGGAACCTGACAAACAAACGGGAGCTTTTGGAAATTGGGGATCGTTGCACTAGGGATTTTTGGCGCTGGGGTCCCCAGTTGTAGGACACTTCCAATCTTAGCCCCCGATTTCCCTCTGGACCAGCATCTCGGACATCCTATGCGACTGCGATTGGCCTTAGTTGTCACTATTATACACCCCTATATTATACCCCTAAATAGTAGTTTCCATTTTCTTTTCCATTATCCCGGGGCCATAGCAAGGACTCCCTGACACAATGGCCTTGGTGAATTTATCATGTGCCCTACCCAATTCCACACGGGGGTTTCCCAAAATTAGGGGTACCATTTTGAGGGTCCCAATAATAAGGATTATAGTATTTTGGGGTTTATATTGGGGTCCCCCTATTTTGGGAAATTACCACACATTTCCAGACGGTATAGGCGGATTTATGAGACCAAGGGACCAGGGGAACTTGGGATATCTCATTGCCTGAACCGACCACGCCCCGTAATTTCACCGCATAATAGGGAATACGGGAATATAATCCCTATGTAAGCCATGTTCTTTTCCATTATTCCTGCTAAGAGCCAGTGAGGAAGCGGATGCAGTCATTGTTTGATTTTGCAGAGCACAAGCAAACTTGCCTTCGAGAAGTATTGATGCACCGGAAGATCCTGCCTTTCTTGCATGAAAGGACCCTCAATTTTTGGTGTGCCCTTCTGAGTCCTTCATTTCATTTACGCAGAATCCGTATATAATCCTTGTATAATCCCTCTAATCCCTATAGTTTCCATTTTCTTTTCCAGTATCCCAATATTAGTGGAAAGTGCGGGTCTTGCTGCTCGGGTGGATTCGCGCACTGCTGCCCAGGGCTACGCGTGAGGAGCGTTGATCTGAGCAGTGACTGAACTTACTTCTGGGTAGCAACTAAAGAGCAAGACCCCAAGAAGCTTTGTCCAAGTGCTCCAAACTATATTCTGAAGAAGAGCGAGTTCAGTCTGAGCCATCAGATTGGAAAGGATCTCAGCTGGGCGGAATCAGAAAATCGTCGTTCTGTCAGTTCAGCTGTACTTTGGGGGTGTGATTGGACACCTCATGCATGGATCACAGAAGCGTCGCAGCACCGAACTTGCCATTGCGTAGATGACCCGCCCAAACGGAGCAGGCACATGCGTATGTTATCCTCGTGGGAAGAGATTGTCATCATAATAGTAACACTCGAAAGTGTTACACAAGGCCGAGTCGTCCTCCTGATTCATGATGCTGGCAATCACAATCTCCTTCAGCAGCTGCTGTGCATGGGCCTGGAAGCCCTTTGATGCTCAAGCCCTGAGGTGCCACAAGGTCCAATAGGAACCTTAAATTGAGGGACTTGAAAGTTTCATCCCCTTTGAGGAATCAGGAGTGTATCTTGGGGGCTTTATTGTGGGGCCCTTGTTTTGATAGGACTGAAGCGAAGAAAGTGCTAGCCGGCGCATACCTCAAGTCGTAGCCACTGTGTGCGACCTCGAAGGAGTGGCTCGCGGTTTGCGATTCGGTGTTTCCAAATT